ACGGCTCTAAAGACTTGCCGCGTTTCAAGCCGCGGCATTGATAACGAGACCAACACCGAGGGAGGCATCCAATCTACCGTCCACTGCGTGAGATAATCAAAAAGCAACGAGAGGGGAAATGGAGGGGGAGCATCAATGGGGACGACAATCATTCACGACCGCTGCGCTGCGCTGAGTTGCGAGATGGATCGACGCCTAGGTCGTCCAGTCTGTTGGGCCAGGATAACCTTTCCTTCGAGAAGGTCTGCTAGACTATTCCACAACACCGGTGAACCCGGAAATGCTACCGTACGGTACCATCGTGACAAGCTCGCCTATAAATTTGCTGCAGGCAATCTCCGTTCCCCAGGCATGTGTCCTTTGCATTGGGTCGATCCTGCAGCATCGTGACAGACAGACAAGTCCAGGATCGGAAAACGTGCCCCGAGTAGGAATTAGCAATGCACGGTGCAATCGTGGACATGGACACAGAAGAAGATTGGCGTTCACGAGTGCGAGTCTTGGTGTAGCCCAGGGGTTTCAAACAATGGGGATGAATGGAGTGAAGTGGTACCTCGACGTTTGGTACCTGCAGCAGCTTTCTGGAAAGTACCGAATGGAAGGACCACTCACCCACAATTAGGCATGAAAAAGAACCCATACGGACCACACTGTACCTGGCAGGCGGGTTGTTTGGTAATTAACGGCCAGTGTGAAATTGGCCGGGCCCTGTCGAGTTACGGTCCGGCGGCTGGCCCCTGGCAGACGGCCCCACACCCCGGACGTTGGCTCGAGGACCGGTGGGAAGGGATGGATCAGCATGATACTGAGAAAAGAAGCACCAATCTTGCTCACGAAAGGATCAATCTCGCATGGATAATGGAATTCTCGAGTCTTCTTTGGACCCTTGATCGAACATTTCTCGGCATACTGAACGCTCTCTGATCTTATGCCAGCCAGACGAAAGATCGGGGCTACCCTGATGTTAGTGACATCCTCTGATATGTGATATGTGTATCTTGGATGACGTTACGACCACTGAACAAACTTGCTTGCACCTCGATCAGGCACGATGACACCATGTGTATCGATCATAATGCACAAACAGAGGCGGCTGGAGTGGTTCCCAGGAACCACTTTAGGGCTCACAAGTTGAGACGATTGACTGTGAAAGGCTGAAAGACGGGACAGAACAGAACCTTCAGCTCCAACGGCTAAAAACCCGGGTGGCGTCTTATGCCCAGTTATGCCCTGAATGGCGCTGCATAATTCGCACTACCAACGGACTTGTACACGTGTGTGACAAGGGTCTGTACGTTTCGGAAAAAGCTGTTCCTTGTTTCCATCACATCAACCTCTTGAAGCTGCATTGCTTACCCTCTTGTCACGGCTTCAGCAAAAGCCCTTTGTCATTCCGAAGCGTCTTAAAGTGATTCCCCAGCGTGTTTCGTCACTCCAACGGTCACAATGCCCCTCGTCGATATTCCCCTCTCCTATCCCCTCCCCCTTTTCCTTTTGCCCTCCAGGCCCCTGTGAGCATTAATCCCAGGGCACGTCCCAGCGGAAGGAAAAGCACCCAAGGCTAGGCTAGGCTGGCTGTTTGATTAATGCCCCCCGGCTGTTGGAGGACGGCCTCCCGCACGTACCAATTAGCCCACGAGGGCCCTGAGGTAGGAACCTAAGGTTTGGGGATGAACGAGGGGCAAAGCCTAGAGGCCATTTCATGCGACCCCGAGACAGTGCCAGGACGCGAGAGGGCCATATGTAGGCTCTTGCGGATGGAATTTGACAAGAGCGCTACTTGAGTAGTTAGAGATTGGGTATGAGCCTGGATGCTTGATACGAGTTGAAGGTTCTTGCAGGAAAGACGTGCTTGACTGCGCCATTCATCTGAACTATTGATAGATAAGTTGCGGTTGTACAACGGCCAATCTTCAATATGCAGCCGACCAGGGTGCTGTGGCGCGAGGCCACGAGAATCGACCGAGGCTGAGGCGGCAGAGCGAGCGCGTGTAGCGAGTAAGAAAACGCGTCTGCTCTAACACACACGCGTCTGGCGTTCTCACCGTGTGCCAATTTCACCATTTTGCTTGGCTCATTGAAAGCCAAATTCGTTACAGCTTGCCTGCGGGGAACACAACATTGTGATACCAATAAATTGTTCACCCACGCACGCCGTTAATCTTTGTTCGAGCTCGAGGCATGGAAGCGGTGGTCCTGGGTGACAAGACAGGCTGGATTGCTCATCTCCCAGGGCCTATCAATCGTGATCTGCTGCCGCGGTTGGTAACGTCTTTGGGACCCTTTGGGTTACTGTCACAAATTGCGACAATTTGCAGCTCGGAGAGCCATGCCCCAAAAAAGAAATAAAACACGGGAAAACATTGAACGGTCCCGCCGCGCCACGAGATTGAGACTGGGCTTGGACACTAGGATGCTCATCGCTTTGATCCCCGTGATTGTGACTGAACTGACTATGATTATGATAGCACCTCAGGCACGAAAAGTTCCCAGTCAAGGTCGGCAGATAAATGGTCGATGTCTGCGACGCCGTCATCGCCGGTGCAAAATCCAATCCTAGAAAGCTTCTAGGGGGGCCAGGGGAGCTTCCCCCGGTGGCCCTAGGTCGTTTCTTGTGGTTTCGTTCGTCCCCAATTGTTCTGTCATCCATTTTCTTCAGTACTAGCGAGGTTATGAGAGTCGTTTCCATTTATCTGGGACCGCGGTACTCCGTAGACTGGCCCTTATTTCCAAGACCAAGGTCCAAGAACAAGAGCCGACTGGACTGGGACTGGGACTGACTGGGCTTCAAGATGAAAGGACTAAGCCGCCCGTGATCTCTGTAGTGTCATATCATTCGCCGTCTGCCACTTTTCACGTCGGTCATTCTAGCCCATACCAGTGGGCAGCCAGAGTTGAGAGGGCCACACGACACCGTGAAAAAGACACCCTAAGGTTCATTTGGTGTGCTCTTCTGACTCTTCTGACCCTCCCTAGGAAGTCTTCAAATGATCCATTTCTCAGAACCTTGCACACCATTGGATCTTGTGCGGTTGCTCTTGGATCCTAGTTTCATTCTTCGCTTGTCTACGACAGTTTGACATGTTATCCTGAGATTGGGAATTTCGCGTGTCGCTGTCTCCGATCTGATAATCTCACAGATGGGTTTCTGCCTCCCTTTGCCCATCGTTTGGCAAAAACAGCATGCTTATGCTTATTTCTGCATGGGATGGCTGTGAATCAGTACTCTGACTTGCAGCTTGAGATCAGCACGAAATGAGGTACCGGTACCACCAGGGCGCCGTGACTCGAACTAAGTTTGTAAGGCTTCGTTAGCAGGTCACTCTCCAGAGCTTCAGAAGGACTCCCGTGTGCTCCCCGCCAGCCCAGTCTGCTCCCGCTGCCATGGGCCTTTCCTCCTGGGCTCTCTCAGTGCGGGCTCTCACAGTGCTCGCCGTCAGGTCTCTTTCAGGGCTGCCTGGGGTGCCTAAGTGCCCTGACCGGAGCACGGGTACGTACCCGGATCTTGGCGAATAAAGCCTGAACTGAAAGTGTCGCTGTTGAGCTGGGTTTTCCATTTCTTGGACAGGGGCGCAATTCAGAGTGGAGACGAGAGAGTTGCGATGGCGTACAGTGACATACGTTGGCCGAAGTCTACAGTTGGCCAGTGACATGAATACCTTTTTCCCCAGCCACCTTTCTGCAGCGGCCAAGGTTCCTGCAAGGTCCCGCCTGCAGCTCGCAAGTACTTGGACTTGACCTCCTTTCCCTGGACTGAGCAAAGTCTCCATTGCTTCTTCCACGGCTTCGCTGCACTCCACTCACTTTGGCTGTTGACGGATACCACGACACGCCCACATCCATCTTTTTGGCCTGTGTCTGTCTCTTTTCTCTTCTCACGCCCCCTTCTTGTCTCACCTGTCGACGCCTCAGGTACTGTACTGACTCTGGCTTTGGTCCCTTTGGGCTTTTCTGGGGGAACTTGCTTGCTTCAGTATAGGTTGGTTGATGTTCGCTCTATCATGTCTGTCTCTCCCTGGATTTGAACCACGTCAGGGCTCACCCCATGTTCAGCTCACCTGCATTTCTCTTTGCCTCTTTTCTTCTTCTTCTTCTTCCCCTCTTCTGACATATTCAATAATGACAATAACAATAAACAACATCTATTGACATCGCCCAACAATTGCTGAATCAATAACCACCCCGGTCATTATTCAAGCATCCTTCGCATTAATCACACTAGAGGTCGAGCGGGAAACTCTTCGCTGGGGCCTCTCTTTTGGGGAGCAGAGCAGAGCAACTGGGTTACCTTACTTAACGTATTCGCTAGTGGCCTGAGGATCCTGCCCCGATCGGCAGGTTCAGTTCAGTTCAATTCACTCCCCCCCCTGGCCCGTTGCCCTTGGCCCTTGTCAAGAGCTTTCTTTCGCTCTCCTTTTCGTTAATATCGACCCTATCCACTTCTGCAATCACCCTCACTTCAAGTCACTCCTTTTGCTCTTCTGGAACCTGGACCCTCTGGCGAGATCTCATCTCTTTTGATTGACGTTTATTCTCGTCCATCGTCGTCTCGATTAATTCTAAACACTTACATCCCGTCCCCTCTTTCTCGACCTCCCATTGTTCAGTTCCATTCACTCATCCATCATCAACTTCGTTACATTTACCGCCGCCACCTCCCCTCAATCCGATCAATAGTGCTACTACTACTACGGCGAGTAATTGCTTCAGGGACCAATACTGCTATATACAATTGTACACGCTCGCTGCCACACCCACCAACCGTCAGGTCCCACGCTCGTTCGCCGCCGTTTTCCAAAATCAACTTGTCCGATCTGAATGCTCCGGTAAAACGATTTCTAGCTCTTCGAGAGAGCTTCTTGTTTTTGGATCCGATTAGGTATATTCACTTGGCTGCCGTCCAATTCGGGGACCCTCCGAATAACATTCGTACCCCAGGACCCCGACTCATTCGCGTGTCACTGCATCCGAAATAGAGTCACTCGATCACAACCGACATGATGACTGTTCAAAACGATTTGACCCATCGGGGTGTTTCTGGTCAACAGCTTGCCCTCGAGGATCGATTTGAAGTACTGAAGGAAATTGGTGATGGAAGCTTTGGCAGTGTCGTTTTGGGTAGAGTTCGAACGGCTGGTGCCAACGTTGCTCGCCGAGGTACAGTGGTAAGTCAATACGATGTGCACCCTCTTGTGTGACAGCTCCCGTAACCATTTCTGCAGGTCGCTATCAAGACAATGAAGAAGAGCTTCGAGTCGCTAGCACCATGTTTGGAACTCCGCGAGGTCGTCTTCCTTCGCACTCTCCCTCAACATCCTCACCTTGTTCCTGCTCTCGACATCTTCTTGGACCCATACACCAAGAAGCTTCATATTGCCATGGAGTACATGGAGGGCAACCTTTACCAACTGATGAAGGCTCGCGACCACAAGTGTCTCGACAACGCCAGTGTTAAGAGCATTCTTTTTCAGATCATGCAAGGTCTCGAACACATCCACTCTCACCACTTTTTTCACCGCGACATCAAGCCCGAAAACATTCTAGTCACCACTTCTGGTCACAATGAATCTGGCAACACCTTCCGCCGATACTCAGCTCTCGTTACTCCCCCCTCAACACCACCCACATACACCGTCAAGATTGCCGATTTCGGTCTCGCCCGAGAGACACACTCAAAGCTCCCCTACACCACATACGTATCAACAAGATGGTACCGTGCTCCCGAGGTTCTTCTACGAGCTGGAGAGTACTCCGCTCCCGTGGATATCTGGGCGGTTGGTGCTATGGCTGTTGAGATTGCTACGTTGAAGCCGTTGTTTCCTGGTGGAAACGAGGTTGATCAAGTTTGGCGAGTTTGTGAGATTATGGGCAGCCCTGGTAACTGGTACAACAAGTCCGGTAACCGTGTCGGTGGAGGAGATTGGCGTGAGGGAACCAGACTCGCTGGCAAGCTTGGTTTCTCATTCCCCAAGATGGCTCCTCATGCTATGGACACCATTCTGCAAACACCCCAATGGCCGACCTCTTTGAGCCAGTTCGTCACTTGGTGCTTGATGTGGGACCCCAAGAACCGCCCAACATCATCACAGGCTCTTGCTCACGAGTACTTTGCCGATGCCGTTGATCCAATGCGACCCAAGTCCTCCGCTTCCCGAATCCTTGGCCGCAAGCAGTCCGACCTCAGCCGAAGCAGCAAGGAGGCTACTACAACACCCACCTCTGTGAAGCAATCTTGGTTCCGCAAGTCTCTCATCGGACGTTCTGAGAGCACTGACTTGGCTACCGTGCAGTCCCAGACAAAGGATTCTACCGCCCCTAGGCCCGCACCTGTACACGCTTCATCGGCTGTTGAGGCATCCACTGCCAAGGTTCGCCCGGCTGCCGGAAAGAGGACCACTTGGACAAATGGCCCGTCGAACGTAGCGCCCATGCCTATTCTTCCTACTGCGCGACCGATCTCGCCGATCCCTGATGCTGTAAATGCCCGCGCCAACAACACATACGACGACTCTTACGCTAATGGACATGGCCAGGGGAAGACCAAGAAACTTGGCCGACAGCTCTCTGTCGCTTCAAGCACAAACAACTACACAGAAATGCATCGGCAACAGGCCGAAAGGGCACTCAATGGGAATTCTGGCCTCGCCTCCCCTCCGAGTGGACAGAAGGAGAGCTTCTTTTCACATCTCAGAAAGCGTGCGCGGCGGTTCTCGGGACGACATCAGACCCCCGTCTCACCCGCCTATGACGACGACCTGGAGGCCCAGGTTGGATGTGGCCCTTGGGCTAGCAACCGGTCGTCCATGGTTATTGACCAATCGCAACAACAGGCTCCCATTCCTAAATCCGAGGTCTACGAATCCCTGGACAAGGCCCTCCGAGATGTTCAGAACAACCTCGATTCGCGACCTCCCGTTCCGCCCAGTCACCAGATCTCGCCTACCAGCACCCTCAAGCGACATCACTCGCTTCCTCAACACCAAGCCCGGTCAGTAGACAACCTGATCGGTGCTGCTCGAGGTGGACCCGTCTCGAGCCGAACAAGGAGGGCCCAAGCGACACATGGCGTGCATCAATATGAGGCTCCTGATGAGGAAGACGAGCTTCTAGACGAGGCTTTGACTTCTACTCAACGGGCCGTCAAGCGCATGGAGCAGAACCAAAATAAACCTCTTCGACAGTCGGCTAGCAACATTGGGCTCATGAACCCATACCCTACGCCGTCGCCCTCAGCCAACGGTAATCAGGTCCTGTTTGCCGATGGCCACGAGGCTGTTACCCCCAGACCACTGGATCTTCACAAGAAGACGGATAACCAGTACAAGTGGCCCACGCCACCATATGAGGAAAGCGAGTGGGCAGCATCAGCAGCCGCTAGCATCTGGGCTGCTGGCAGTCGCTTCTAAGTGTTTCGTCTTGACATACTGTTACGATTACGTCCAGTGGCGCCGAAAAAGTTATTGATATCGACTCGCATGGTCATGGTGTTTGGGTGTTTGGGTTGAGATATGCGGCCCTTTTCTGATCTTTCTATCATTGTTGTAACGTGGGCGGTCCGTTTGATTTTTGGGCACACTGGCTTGACTATACATACTTTATTCCTCCCTTCGATTCAGCACTCAACATTTTCACCAAATACCCGGTCGCAGTTTTATGCCGCCTTCTGCCCATTATTATTACTATTACCTCTTCGCCATCTCTCACTTCTTGAACCGTTTGCTCTTCTTCGTTTTTATACCTTGAGTATCAAATACCCCCTATAGACCACAGGCGAGCGCAGCCGCAGCAATCTGCTTGAAGCAATACCACACACATACCACTCAATCAATTTCTTTCCTTTGTCTCACTACTATATAAGAAAGGTGGAAAGGAGTCTGAGGTGCTTGGGCTGAATATGACCGGCCATTTTCTTTGTCATATTCTTGGGTTATCTTTGCTTGAATGGACAAAAAAGGGTCAAACAGGACGTCTCCCCGGGAGATGAACAGAGTGACGGCCATAGCCATCGTTTGCTTATTGAAGCATGTAAAAAAAGTCAGCGAGCATTTCATTATTCCCCACCTTTCAGTCAATGCATTGGGAGACCGTCGAATCAATAGATGGAGTTTTTCGCAGGCCAGGATGCCAGACAAAGCAGTTTGCAATTTTATGATCAAAGTATATAATTTTACACGCCCCGGCAACAGGAGAAGGGATGCCTTGGTATGAGGAGGGAACCATGGGGTTAATCAGCAAAATATCAAAACAATTACTGTTTCATGTGCTCTATGCTATCTCTGCTTGGACTGCCCAATGGCCTATGTGAACTAAGCATCGTGGGCTTCATGGAGAATGTTGGCGGTCTCATTAGATCGACAAGAAGGTTTCTGCCTCCCTTTAGTAGTGGGGGATCAAGTCAGAATAATGAGGCAACATTTGTAGAAAGCGGGGAGGCAGCCAAATGAGAGACTGAAGGACAGGAGATGAGGTGGCTTGAGGAGTGACATGCACGGTATTATTTGCACAATATTAGGCTGGGATAGGAATAAGCAAATCTCTTAGACTGTATAATATTACTATAGTTCACACGAATGACCGTCAGGGTGTCATTGTTGCGAGCCACAATATGATCAGTGGCATTGAGTTTTGTGAGGCGAATCTGAAAAAAGATCTTTGTCAAACGATTGAACAATGTAACTCGAGTGAGAGTTGAGTTGGTGAGATGTTATCATGGTCACGTGCCCGGCTAGACGAACATCACGACGCTTACCTTAGGCAGCACTCACCTGTCCTGGTAAGCCAAGCCAAGAACTGACGACGAGCGGTGACTATTACGAAACGGAGACCATCTCTGTATCTCTTTAAAACGTGCCAAACGCTCTTTTTGTCCTCGGGGGTCGTTGGCGACTTTTATCAAGTGTTTGTTCCTGAGCCGTAACGATAGACGTTTCACACGGAGCAACCATCGAATCAACTGATTCATGTTGGACGGACTTTGAGGAAGCCGAGAACTTTGCGACGATCTTACCCGTGGATAATCTACACATCTCACGAACTTGGATCATCTCATTTTCTTGAAATCTCGTTTCTTTTTGATCACTCACCACCATTTCAACCAAAGACGAGGCTGAGCTGGATCATCTTACGCGGGGGAGGGGTAAATTCGGTGTTGGCTGAAGGATCCATGGACTAATGGATGAGCATTTAGCTGAGAAACCTGGACCTCTATCAGTATCACTATCTCTACCATCATGAGTCTCAACCTGCCAATACGACCTAGCACAAGCAGCCAGCGGAACCGGGACAGTCGTAATAATTACTTCAACAGTTATACCCCGCCAAGCTCCACGGAGGCTATCAATGGGCCCGTTAGAGAATTGGTGAGGGAGCAGACACCTCTGAATGATCGCTTGATTGTGGGTGTTGATTTTGGAACCACATTTTCAGGGTGAGTACCTCAGGCTTAGAGAAAGCATGAAGCTAATGTTCGTAGTGTTGCTGCCGTATACACTTCTACCCCTGATGATATAGAAATCATCAAGACTTGGCCTGGTGGCAATGGTATCACATCGGACAAAGTCCCAACTGAGATTGCCTATGACTTTCCTCCCAATGCACCGCAAGGCACTGAGCCAACAGTAAAATGGGGTTTCCAGTTCAAGCCAGAGGAGTCACGTCTACGCTGTATCAAGCTCTTTCTGGATCGATCTCAAAAACTTCCCTTCTATGTCAGCCCTCTCGACACAGCCGCACAACTTAAGCGCTTCAACAAGAATGTCGTCGACGCCGTGAGCGACTACTTAACTCAGATCTACAAACATACCATGGATACGCTCACCCGTAGGTACGGTGAGTCATTCATGGCGTCGACAAAAGTTGAGTTTGTACTCACTTGTCCGGCTGTTTGGAGTGATGCTGCAAAGAACACTACGCTGCAGGCTGCTGAGAGAGCAGGTATGGGGTTGAGGTCTGAGATTCAAATGATCAGCGAGCCTGAGGCTGCGGCTGTGTATACGCTCAAGGCGATCCAGCCGAATCACCTGAACGTGGGTGATAACTTCATTGTTTGTGATGCTGGAGGCGGTACTGTTGAGTAAGTTTAGCAACCCCTTCACCTAGCATGGTACTGACAATGTAAAGTCTGATCGCATATAAGATCATCTCGCTCAAGCCGCTCCGTGTAGAGGAGTCTGCGGTTGGAACGGGAGGACTGTGTGGAAGTGCTTTCTTGAATTATCGATTTGAGGAGCATGTTAGAGGCCGTCTTGGTCAGACTCGCTTTGATGAGATGAAGGCTAAGAAAGGCAAGACGTGGCAAATGGGTCTTCGATACTTTGAAGAGTTCGTGAAACGGAATTTCAATGAGGATGAGCATCAGGAAGTCAATGTTCCGTATGTATACCCGTGTCCCTACTTGGTTCCCACTGACCTCCGTAGCTTCCCTGGTCTTCCCGACGACGAAGAGGCTGGGCTGGACTCAGGCTTCCTCGTCATGACGGCAGAACAAGTCAAGGACATCTTCGAGCCCGTAGTTAAAGAGGTATGTGACCTTGTCCAGGGCCAAGTCACAGGCCTTCGTTCCAAGGGAGGCATTGTATCCGGCATCGTGCTAGTTGGAGGTTTTGGTCAGAGTGATTATCTATATCGTCGACTTAAGAATCACTTTACAAGCGCTGCTCCGCCGCCGTACAGCGAAAGGCCTACACACGCCAATGCCAATTCCACACAGGAGGCAGGCTCCATTGAAGTGATGCAGCCAGTGTATGCTTGGACGGCGGTTGTGCGAGGTGCTGTCTTGCGAGGACTGGAAGGCAACATGGTCATTTCTCGTAAGTCGAGAATGCACTATGGTACATCGTATGCTACTGTGTATGATGAGGATAAGCATTCGGTCAGTGAGCGATACTGGTCTCCCTTATGGGAGCGTTGGATGGTCTCTGACCGGATGCAATGGCATATTGCAAAGGTACGTCTCCTCCTTTTATGAACTTGTTCCCCATTCTTAACACATCATAGGGCGAGGCTCTATCACCACTCGCACCCATCGCATTCCACTACACACGCAACTTCCGTCCCGGTCAATCTCTTATCGTCACCGACGATCTCATAGCATGTGATGCGGACGAACCACCCGCAGCATACACTCGCGACCTGATCCACGTGTGTACCCTCACAACAGATCTCAACGCCGTTCCAAGGAGTTTGTTTACGAGATTGACGACGACTAGAGGCGTTGAGTTTGATAATTTAGATTTCACACTGGAGATGAGGGTTGAGAGTGCGGGCTTGGGATTCGAGTTGAAGGTCGATGGGGTGAGGTATGGAAGGGTTGAGGCCGAGTTTCACTAGGGCTTTGATTTAGCGGAGCTATACGTGAGATATGGGTTAGAAAATATGCATCTATATCTATTGACTGAGTTGATCTTGGTTGTCATCTGTGTTCCTATTTGATGAAGTGACAATTGGTGACATCGTAGATTTGGCTCCAGTGGCTGGCCTCTTAGTTTCTCGCTCTCCTTTTGTTGGCTCAAGTCATTCAATATTATAGCGACTCTACCCCAGGCTTATTCTTGAGTTTCGCATTGTTTAAGTTAGCCTGCTCCTTTGTTCGCCTCAAGACTTGACTTGCATGGGGTTTGGCTTATAACAGACGACCGCGAACACGCACGAACACCATGTTCACCATTGCTCTCGCACTTCCAACCTTCAGAACAGATACCATGGACTGACAGCTCAGCAGCAACTGCGCAATATGATGTCTCATGCCACACATATAAAGCCATTGCCCATCACCTTTACCTTGAAATCGCAGATTAAACGATACAGTTCCAAATACGTTCCAAGACAGCAACTAATATTTTAATACACACAAGGTAAGTAAATAGTCAAGATGAGCTCCTATCTCAGCTTCCAATGGCCCAATCCCCAGGGCGTCTGCTGCTACCGCTCCTTCGACAACCCTAACGACCACTCTATTATCGCCATCAAAGTCCCCTGGCTCCAATGGCCCAACGACCCTCTAGAGGATGTCCATTAACCTTGGTGGGTAATCCGCGATAAATCTCTCGCAGCTGTAAGACTCTGGAAGAAGATTCTACACGACAAGCTTTCGAGTGAGACGTATCATAAGCATATGAAGATCACTAGCATTATTCTTATGAACGAACAGCTAAGACTGACTATAGATGATTTGGGGGATGGAGACGATCATTTGAAGTTGTTCTATGGGTTTGCCGCTGATGAGATTGCAAATATGAAAGAGGTCAAGGGGTTGGATCTCGGGAAGGATGTTGTCAAGTGGATTGGAAAGGGGAGAGATGCTGTTCCTATTTTCAGGAGGGTCAGGACGAGAAGCACAGATCTTGTCTAAGGGGGTAAGTATAGTTATAGTTTCTTGGTATCATGCCTGTAGTGTTAATGATGTTCAGAGCCCTGCTGTTTCAATCAATACATTAATAATGCCATCCCTTAGGGAGCAAGAAAACATCAGACCTTGATATAAGGTGTCAAAATAAACTCCGCAAAAGGTATCCTAAACTCATAATAAAGTACCTAATAAGTAATGTGCTAATTGATTCACTATAATTCGTATATGCCATAATTCGATATTTTTATGTATTGATGATCTCCAATACGTCACTTGAAGACGGGATAGATAGATAGATGGCTTGCCCTTCCACTTTTCAAGGTGGGGCACAAACATCAAGATCAACAATTCTTCAGCCTTCACTTTTTCACATTCATTCATTCATTCACTTTGAAGATGGCTTCTTCAGAGCATGCGTCAGCCCTATTGAAATGGGCACGCTCTCAAGGCGCAACTCTCAACCCTTCTGTTGAAGTAACTCACTTGCCCGAAACAGGCCTCTCGTTCCGCGCAAAAGCGCCTACAGCGCCCTCTGACACAATCGTCAGCATCCCCTCGCCTCTGACGCTCTCATATCTCAACACTCTTCCTGGCCGTGATGACCCAAACCCTTTTCCCGCGGGGTTCTTGGCGCAAACACCGCCACATGTCATTGGCCGTTTTGTTCTCATCAAGCACCTTCTACTAAAGGGAGAGTCTTTCTGGGCGCCATATATCCAGGCTTTACCACAGCCTGAGGACCATGATTCTTGGTCTCTTCCGCCATTTTGGCCAGATGAGGATGCCGAGTTATTTGAGGGGACGAACATCGAGGTTGGCGTTACGAGCATAAGTGCCAATGTGAAGAGAGAATTCAAGACGGCGCATGATCTTTTGACCGCTGAGTCGTGGGAGCCTGAGCTTCTCAAACTATTCACGTTGCCATTGTACCAATGGGCCTACAGTATCTTCTCAAGCAGAAGTTTCCGTCCAAGCCTTGTCTTTGGGCCAGAGGATCAGCAGCGTCTGCCTGAAGGTGTCAAGCTGGACGACTTTTCTGTTCTCATGCCGCTGTTTGATTTGGGAAACCATGATATGACTACCAAAGTGGAATGGGCACGGAATGAGACGATCAATGGCTGCAGTCTCAAGGTTGAAAAGGCGTATCAGGCTGGGGAGCAGGTCTTCAACAACTACAGCATGAAGACAAATGCTGAGCTACTACTGGGATATGGGTTTATGCTCCCTGAGACGGAGGATTTGCACAACGACTATGTTCATGTGCGGAAACGTCAGCCTGCAAAGGGTGAGGCTACAGAGGAGTATTACATCTCTCTACGACCAATTCGAGACCCCAGCTCCCTCCTTGCACGCTCAAAACAAACCGTCCAGCTCAGCGATTCAGCCCATATACTCGGAGCTTTTCAGCATGTTCAGCACGACATGGTCTGGGACATATTCTGCACGCTCGCGCCGCCCGAACAACGCTCGACACTTATCAGTGAAGGCTCAGAGCAAGAGCAGCAAGAGAAGTTTTTCAGCGGTCAAGTCAGTGAAGACGGTCGAATGTTCCTTCAGCAGACTGCGGCCATCATCCAGCACAAGGTGATGCAGGAGCTGGAGAGGTTACTTGAGACGGACGTGGAGGTTGTGGGCGGAGGTGACCTGACAAGAAATCAGCAGCTGGCGTTGGATTATAGAGCGAGGTGTAGAAGAGTGCTTGAGAATACACTTGAGGCTATGAATATGGAGGAGCTGTTTGGGGAGGATGACGAAGGAGACGAATAGATGCCTAGAGGTGATTGTTGATCGGCCGCTCTACTACAGAGCTGAAGCTATGACTTTAACTTGATAGAGACTTCAAGATATAGATCAGGATAGATCCCTGGCCATGAAAATGATTAGGCAAATTGAAAAAATATATGTTTTCGTTTGCTGAGATTTCTCGGTTGAAGACACATACTCCGTACAAACAGTCTCGTGGTAGGTTGTGATCCAATTCTTCATTCACATTGGCCAACTTGTCCAGTCAGAATCAGATGCATCTCCACTCTCATCAGCTCTTTATCTTGATCTCATCGCAGCCTCTGCAACACCAAGATTGATCAAGCATTCAGCGCATTTCATATGTCAACAAAGGGGCATTTACAAGACTTACACGATTCACGCCACCCCGCCATCATGACACCTTCATCAGACCTCAAACTGCTCGATCTCATCACCGCCATTGACAAGTCTATTGTCTCCCTCTTCACAAGGCTCATAGAATACTAACGACTTCAGTGCTCCTCTCGACTTTGCAACAAATTACACCCCCTACTACCGTCTCTTTCTCTCTCCCGACCCTCGCCCTCATGGCTTCATCCTCCCCGCCACAGTCTCCCTAATGCCATGGCCCAAATCCTTCACTATCGACCACGACAACCGCACCGTCACATTAAATGAACCTGCTTCAGGCTCAACATTTACAGAGCACGCGAATGCTGCATTTCAAGAAGTTGTTGATAAAGCCATTGACGATGACCTGTTTCCTATTCTGCACAGGGAACACAGTGAGTACTTTCGTGTAGTCGGCGCAAGGGAATTCGTGCAGGTCGAGAGGTTTGCTGCTCCGTTATTTGGCATTGCGACGAGGGGCGCTCATTTGACGGGGTATGTACGCGGTGATGATGGTGAGATAAAGATCTGGGTTGCGAGACGGAGTCGTCACCTCTTCAGCTACCCTGGCCTTCTTGACAGTACTGTCGCTGGTGGTATCAAGGCCATTGATACACCACTTGCATGCATCAAAGCTGAATCTACCGAAGAAGCCTGTCTTCCACCAGATCTCGTCTCGTCGAGCGTTGAACCCGCGGGAGCGATAACGCTGGCCAACATCAACCAGAAGTCAAAGCTATTCCACTCAGATATCATTTACGTCTTCGATCTAGAGATGCCAAAGGATGTTATTCCTCGACCGGGAGATGATGAAGTGGAGGAGTTTGTGCTGATGGATTGTCAGGAAGTGGTACAGCGCATGTTGGTGGGAGAGTTTAAGCCGAATGTGTGTCCTGTGATGATCGACTTCTTAGTCAGGAAGGGATTCATCACGAAAGAGAACGAGAGTGACTTTGAGGAGATTCAGAGGAGGTTGAGGAGAGAGATTCCTGTGCCGATGGAGTCTGATGCATAGTGATGCAACTTGAAGATGTTGATAATGGTTTAGAACAAATTCATGAAAGAGCCCCTTCAACTTGTATTAGGTATCGTGACTTGGGCTCTGAGCCCTAGGGCTTCTTTTCCCTTGTGTATAGCCAGGTAACCAGTGTGTCTTGTTACAGTCTGCTAATTACAATAGTTTGATATAAGTTGACCACAAATTTACAAGTTGAAGCCATAAGCGAGCTTTGTCGCAACATATTGGTTGCTGAAGAATCATCGCGTGTAACAAATATCGAAAAGACAATGCCTTTGTGTGCACGACAATCCCAATTCATTCCACTTCTCAAGGCTATCACATCGTCTTCCCTAGTAATGTTTACCAGTGTTAGTCACCAAATTCTCCCGGGTCGTCATGTCCAGGGTAGTTAAACTCTCAGCACCAATATCACACTGTTTGCTGTTTTGGCGAGGCGAGGTTCCTTCCCAAACAGTACTCCTCCCTCCGCCGTCAGCCCACCAAAAAAGTCCACCTTACTCCCCCCCAAATTTCTACCAGCAAAAGAAAAAAAACCTACCAGCGACAAAATCATCAACGACGAATACTGCATTCTACGATGCGATACAGAGACAAACAACTACCTGTACTTGACATTATGGCGATATACGTCCGGTTGTTATCGTATTGGTACGTACTTTCTCCTCTTTGTCTGCTGACCTTCTTCAACCCCGCATTGCCACATCAGACGGACTCTGTCGGCTTCACGCACGCCGCCAGAAGCAAAGCACTTGTTTGATACGCATTTGTCGCCATTTTTCTCTGCATTATACTCATAAGCACGAGACTATAATGGCTGCTTTTATAGCTTGTCTCCATTTTCGGCATGACTTGCACCGTTTTGACATCTTTTCGTATTGGCATATCTCTTCTCTATCATGACATTCCCCCAAGGCGTTCAGTCCATCACTGACCTCTTCCTTTCCACCTTACAACCTCTATGATTCACTCTCACTCCCCCAATTATATGCTCTTCTTCCTCGCTTTTTGGTTCATTATACTCTCGTGTCTTTCTGGTTCAAAGTCGGCCTTCTTGACGCCGCAGAAGCACCACCAAGCTCGGTTACCTTACACCAAAGACCAACACAAACAACACTCCACTTCTGCACAACCACTGAGTTTATGAGATAAACTCAACAACAAAAGTCCTTCTTGCGAAATGCCACGTTGTCATGCCAAAACAATCGCTTCGGAAGTCCGATGTAATTGCAGCCACGTCGTGTGTCGCAATCAACGACACAGCTTCGCCATCATAACACACGGAAATGCTCCTCGAAAATGGTTTGTGTCACTCGCTATAAGATGACCTTCAAACGACAACGAGAGATCGATGGACCTCTACGCGCCAAACAAACACGCCAAACAAACACTCAATCAACCTCGAGTCGTTCGAGCTTCCCGGCCAAGCGCCCAGCAGCACTCAACCGTATCTGTTCCAACATGTACATCAAAACACGCAACAAAATGGGATAACAAAGTTTCTTATTGCTATGGTTACATCTAAAGCCACAAACCACCGACAAACGGCTCAGATGCCCGCTGCCATCCAACCTCACCTTGGCGCATAGTACCAAGCAACCATGCGTTATCGATTCTCCTCAGTCAGGGTATCTCCCCAAAACTACGGCCTTGCCCCCACGAATCCTCAGCAAGCCGCATCGTTGCTTTCCCGCACCAGAAAGCCAGCTATTATCATATCACCCTATGTCTCTGTGCGCCAGATACTCCCTGTTGATCCCAAATGTCCATGTTCGCTAAGAACTATGACGACGTCTTCATTATCGATTCATCAGGCTTGGTTATGTCTGCCTCATCCGAGGCGGCATGCTCGAATATTGTTCAGGCACACCGCGTCGCCCCTTTGAGCAAACATGACACCTGGTGTAGCCATGCGGCTGGGTATAATGGTGGCTGATGCTCTCCGGTCGACGAAACATCCAAGCTCCCAAAAAGGTCATACAACTCATACAATCCATCTCTCTCAGCCCGACGCCACCTCTACTCCTCCTCCGAGTCCGACTCATCACTGGACTCGGCCGTAGGTGTGGGAGCCTGTAACACAGGTTGATTCTCGCCAGGCTCCTGACCCGGTCTATACAGGTTGCTGAGATCACGAAGCTGCGCGATTCGTTCCTCCTGTTCACGGGCACTCATGGGCTTGTTCTTTTTGGGCTTCGCTGATGTCGATGATGCCTTCGTATGCTTAGGCGGCGCTGCCCGTGACACTTCCGGAGAAGATGGCACATTATTGTCCTTCCCGAACCCAGGCAACACTTTCTTACAGAGTTCCCAGAGTTTCAGCAGAGCTTCATTGCTCAGCTGATCAATGTCTAGCTCAAGCTCTCCGTCGGTATTCTCCTACAAGGTCGTCAGCACGTTGTCACTACCACGGGCGATGCTGGTGAACTTACATTTTGGCCAGTGTCACGCTTGATGATATCGATAGCGCGGTCAAGCTGTGCGCCATCAAGATCATTGATAGCAGAAGCGATAGCATCTTTGTCTGCCGCGGTGAGAGTCTTCTTCACAGCTTTCTTGGTGCCACTGGGCTTCTTTGCATTTGCCACACTTCCACTGGGTTTGCGGGGGGCAGATCCACTGGGCTTAGGCTTGCTCGGTTTACTGGCCTTCTTAGAGGGCTTCTCAGGATGCTTGGAGCGGTGCGCACTGAGAGTCTGTTTCGCCTTCAGAAGACTTTCTTGTACGAGGTTAACGATACTCTTCTGCATTGCGACCATGCTCTCATTGGGCGAGTCGCCACACAGAAGCTCCGTCAGCTTCTCACTTTCCTCCCTCAGCTTTTTCTCCAGGTCTCGCACTTCCTTACTGTGGTCTGCAGTTGGAGGAGCTGTTATCTCATCGCCATCACCATCGGCCTCCTCGTCCTCATCTTCCTCGTCGCTACCGTGGGAAGCAGCAGGAGCATGTGCCTTGGCATGTCTGGCTAGCCAGCTGTCCTTGTCCTTCATCAAATTGTTGTAGTAGTCCTCCAATTGGGAAGCTACATACGACACAGTGTTGCCTTGGTCAACACTACCGTTGAAGGTATAACAATTGGAAAAGATCAGCCGCACGTTCTTGTCAAAGTCCTTGATGTTGTTGATGTCGCCACTCTTTAGCATACGAGCCACCTTTCCCAGATCCATGGGCTTCTTGATGATGGAGTAGTAATGGGGAATGTTAAGTCCTTCAGCATCAACTGGTTCCATAAACCAGTTGTTGATGGCGTGGTTCTTGGGGGACATCAAATCGTTCAATACCTCTTCAGAGAACTGCAGCTCAGGCTTAAGCTTCTTTCGCGAAGGCTTCGTGGTGTAGTCAATATCCTTTGATTTGGGAGCACGGACGGTTCGTTTGGGACGATCGCCCTCAGTGGCAGATGAGGCACGGCGCAGTTCAGTAGCAGCAGTATTGGCTTCTTGAGATCCAAGCCGCGGCTTTGACGACACGCTTTCGGCGGCGGGACTAGCGCCAGGCCCAACAGATGGCTTGCGAGCAATAGAATCGCCGAGAGAGCTGATACGCGACTCGCGGGGAGGCTTGGGCTTGGGTACCTGCTTGGGCTTGACTGCCTCTTCTTGTGGAATGGTGGCAACTTCTTCCCAGATGCTTCGAATGGCATTGAACGCAGCACCAGTAACCTCATGGAGGGTTCCATTGAAGTTGCGCGTGTTGTCGTACATGAGAACCAGGGCATCCTGAAAATCACCAACCGTAACATAAGCACCATTAATATCACGAAGGGTCCGGTCAATCTCGGAAAGGTCCATAGGTTTCTCGATCTTAGCCAAATAACTCTCAGCGAGTTGAGGCCACATCTTGGGGACTGAGTCCTTGAAATGGCCACCAGCCTTTGTCTTCTTCACGCGTCCCAGCACCTTGCGGAACTCGCGTCGTTGAAAAGGGGTGAGCGTTTGGTTCTTGAAATCGGCCTCATTCCATCTGGTAAGACCAGCGAAGCGAGAAATCTCCTTCTCGGGGGCAGACTCTGCAGAGACCGGGTCAGTCTTGGAGACAGTGGACGTAACGTCGGCGGGTTCTTCAGATTTGGGCTCAGTCTTGGCTCGCTTTGGTGCAGGCTCGTCTGTGGCATCATCCTCACGTTCGCGGGCTACCTTAGAGCTAACGGAAGTGTCGCCAACGGGGGCATCCTGCATCGACACCTCGGTGGAAGGTTTAGGGGCATCCGCTTCCTTCGTGTCGATAGCCAACTGAGATAGGCTGGTAGGTTGGACTTCAGTCTCTGAGGAGGGAGCCGCGGTATCGTTGGAGGAAGCGGGTGCCTTGTCGTCTGTTCCCTCAGCCTTTTCAGGGGTACCTGCAGGTTTGTCTACCATATCGACGTCCTTGGACTCTTTTGCGGTCGCATCTCCAGCGGGTTTCTCGGCTCCGGACTTCTCTGCAGGCACAGCGTCTGTCATATCAACATCCTCCTCCGTAGCCTTAGGCTCCTCCGCAGGTTTGACATCACCAGTGTCTTTCGTCTGATCATCACCTTCGGTCTTTTGATCGTTCTTTTCGTCCGCCGAAGGCTCTTGAGAGGGCTTCTTCTCATCGCTCGCCTCTGCCATCTCTACGTCCTTGTGGACACCATTCTCGACGGGATGATCGTCCGCTTTGTTGCCATTGACAGGCGCAGATTCAGGTGTGTCCTTTGGCTTTTCAGGTGTCGCATGCCTGATAAACATGTCAGAGATTGTTGAGAAACGATGTGCGCGTTTGCGCCATGCATCACAGCCTTACGGCGCGCGACGGCACATGCAAAAAAAGCGCGCCATCAGAACTGAGGGGCAACTTACCCGTTGACTTCGGACTTTTGTTCCTTCTCTACCGTGACATCGCGCGACGTATTCTCGTTTGTGGGAGCGGTCGCATCGGGGGTTGGTGAAGCCATAATGGCTGTTCGCGATAAAGGCGCGTCAATACAGGTCTAGCTTAGTTGACTCGTCGCGACATGAAATAACGATGCGCAGGTGAAAATGATGAGTCGAGGATTATCGCGAGTCGACGTGGTGTTGATGCGCGATGGAGATTGAGAAGTGGATACGTAGGAATGGAGGCGCGTCGCGCAGTTGCGAAATTGGATTAGGAGGCGGGGGGTCGCGATCTTATATTGGTAGCTCCTCTGAATTCTGGTAGCCTAGCGGCAAAAAGGTAGGCGGAGTCGATGACAATAGCTCGCTCGTAGCCTGTGGGAGGCAAGAGCTTGCAAGGTAGGTCGAGGTGGGAAAAAAGAGGAGTAAAGCCCGAAGCAATGACGCTGACAATGGAAATCGAACAGCTGATTTCGCGACGGAGTCTTTTTTTGCGCGTGAGGGTGCAGCGCAAGTGTAGTGCAATGCAGTGTAGCGCAGCGCAGCGGAGCAAAAGTTAAGTACAATACAAGGTAGAGTACGTAAAACGTGAAAGAGAAGAAAGAAGAAGGCCAGAAATTGGAGAAATAAAAAATGACTAATCAAAAGACGAAACAGTTTAAGCAATTCAGAGAAGACTCTCGAATCACAAAACCTATTATTGATTATGGTGTGAAAGTGAATAAATGCGATTGAAAGATGTGATTGCACCTATAAAAGGTCAATGTTGATTGGGAGAAGGCGGTGGTGATTTTTGGTGGTGATCGCCAGCTTCGAGAACAATAAGAACTGGAAGGAGCTCTTATCGTGATCGGGGCGCGGAAGGTGCTTTTTGTGCTTTGCCGTTAACTGAAAAGGTGCAAGGTGGTTGCCAAGAGAGGAGGAACTCTGAGTGGCCAGTTGCGGTGGCAGTTCAGTTTTTTGCCAGTGAGAGAGAGCAATAGCGATAGCGTTGCGCTGCTCAGTGCTTTTTTTTGCTGGCCGGGGACCGGAAGAGGGAGGGGGGTAGGGGGGGTTGGATCTAAGGGGAGCCTCTGAGGGAAAAGCGCGTGCACGTCAGTGAATTTTGCCCGGTCGGAGGCGCGGTGGTATTTATGAGGGAAGAAGGCAAACTCCGCTGAGCCGTTGATTTGTTTCTAACGGGGTGGCCAACTTGGCAAGGGGATTGGGTATGAGGGGACATAAAAATTTAGTTGACCGAGTTTTGTATCAAAGGGATTATGAGGTGGTGCACGGGCCACCATCACCGTCATTGTCATGGATGTGGATTGGCGGGTGGCTGGGGATGATATTATGGTAGAGGTTGGTAGTATCATGATAATGAGATTGATCAAGATGAAAGACGTTCCAAGTCAGTCAAAAGAGGCGAATCAGCTGTTTGATCATTCAGGTTTGTTCTGGAATATACATTTGGATTATGCAGAGCTGATTCAGAGCTTAATTCGATCTAGAACTCTATCTCATAAAAACCATCCAATTGAGTGTGGCTGGTGAGGACAGATCAGAACGCAAGGGGAAGGTCCTCAAAGCCGAGAAGACACGGGATGAGAGTGATGACGGCCCCGTAATGCCACCGTTTCCCGAGCTTCGTCTTACAAGATAAGATGATCGTATTCAAGTAAGGAACAAACAGATTTCGTGAAACTTGAAATGTATCATCACATGTTTACCAAATGAAGATCTTTTACTTGCGCTGATGAAATGACAAGCTCAGAAACGGTCTCGGAAACAGATCCCATTTTATACTGAAGCACGTGCATCACCTTTCATGACACCTCTCTTACACGTTCACGTCGCGTCAAAAGCAGCCATGCAGCAAACCACTATAACCACTTAACAGCTTTCACTCTTCTACCGAAACTGGGACGCATCATACCCAAGCCGGGATACAGGTCCACCTTGGATCTCAAGTCCAGGCAAGGGCAAGTATCAGGTGACCATCCCGTTGGCAAACAATGAAAAAGGGAAGCAATCACCGGGTTTCGAGCTTGTGTCCCCAAGATCTGTGTCATTGTGTAACTAGAAACATTTTTACATGATGCTGGGCCTTATTTGTACTTCATATCTCCTGAGGCCACGGGCTACGAGATGATCCCTCCGGAAGCGAACATGAAGGTTGCGGATGTGACCAATTGCAGCTTATCTCAAGTCCACTATCAATCCACTTCGTCCAATCACCGCTCTCTTCATTTAGAGGCTGCAGTGAGGCCAATCACTGTAATTAAATGGCTCCCAAGCTCAAGGTCGGGCCGCATTGGGCCAGGATATTCTCCTTGCCGATGGAAGCTGCGCAAACAGCCACACCATGACTCATCTGTGGCACTCTGACTGTGGCACTCCACGTGACCCTTTTGCTCTAATCTTATCGCTTGTGGGGCAACCACCAGAGACAAGCTGGGGTTCCAGAAAAAAAGTTCCTTCACTCGAGACCGAGCGACGGCTTCGTCAAATTTTCCATTGATAACGTTCAACAGTATCACTTTCCCTCATTTATTACGGAAAAGATACTATACAAAGAAGCAACAGTCGCACTAATAACTTGCTTCTTAAATTAATCGTCCGTCGTTGAATCTCATCACCGACGAATCCCTGCACGCGACCGCTGAACATCTCCTGCGCTTCACATCAACACCCACACATAATGTCAACAAAACGCAAAGCGCCGGTCAAGCTGGCCGCTCCCGTTGCTAGAACCAGCGCTAGAATCCCCAATAAGTCCGTCATCGACGAGTCAAAGGCCTCTATCGCCGGACCCGACGCCCTCCAGCCCTCGCAGGTTGAGACCATTGAGATCTCGTCCGATAACGACAGCGACGTAGATATCTCCGATGCTGAGAGCCCAGAGGAGGAGCAGACCGCCCATGAAACTGCCGTGACAAACGCCCGCCAAAAAGCCGCCAAGCAAAAGCCCAATGGCCAGTCTAATGACGAGGAATCAGACGCTGAGGGGACATCGCCTTCTTTTGGCGAGCTTCTCCGCGCAGAGAACGATATCATTGATGTGCCCTCCGCACTCAACGGCGCAGTTGTCTCCCAGCCTTCGAGAAATGCGATTGTGCCCCCGACACACCAGTCCCTTACCACCGTTCTTTCTCAGGCCCTCCGTACCGACGACACAGACCTTCTCGAGTCGTGTTTGCACACCACCGATCTCCCCACCATCCGCAACACCATTGAGCGCCTCGACAGCGCTCTCGCTGGTACTCTTCTTACCAAGCTTGCCGCTCGCTTGTACCGCCGTCCTGGTCGCGCCGGAAACCTTATGACTTGGGTCCAGTGGACACTAGTCGCCCATGGTGGTGCCCTCGCATCTCAGCCCAAGGTTATCCACAGTCTCAGCGGCCTGCAAAAGGTTCTCGCTGAGCGCGCCAAGGGTCTGTCAAGTCTTCTCGCCCTGAAGGGTAAGCTCGATATGCTCGAGGGCCAAATGGATCTTCGTCGCAAGATGTCGCGCCCCGGTCTTCACAACGGCGATAACTCGGACTCTGACGAAGATGAGGACGAAGATGTTATCTGGGTTGAGGGCGAGGACGATGCTGCGCGCACACCTGGTCGAAGGCGAGGTCTTGACACTGAGTTTGACGATTCAGACGACGATGTTCCCATCACCAACGGCTTTGTTGGTGACTCTGACGATGAGGAGGATTCAGCTGGTGAGGAGGACGACAGCGATGCCGAGGAGTCTTTGGACGAGGACGAGGTCAATCATGACGATGTGGACGAGTCTATGGGTGAGGACGAGGAGAGCGATGTTGAAGCTGCGTCTGCACCACCATCCAAATTGCAAAAGACCGCTGGTAGCTTCGGCAAGCGGAGGTGAAGCAAAGGATTCCAAAAGCATGTAGAAGACTGAAAAGGGGAGGGAGGGCTTGTTATCATCCTGGCGTTGGTCTTGTAGACATTGGGTTGCTTAATTTTTCTGTATGTCTGTTTCTTGCAATATGACGAGTTGATACCTCCCCATGCATTGCATCACTGTTGGGCTTTTGGACTCCAGTAGTTTTGGTCATCTCATCGTGTTCATGCTCCTAGTCTAAAACTACATGCCACCGGATTGAAGAAGCAATCCCAGAAAAAACATATTAAAACGATTAGATTGTCAAAAAATAGCTGTGCCCTTCCAGCGTTGCAAGTATTTCCAGCGCCATGCAATGATTGGTGCCATGCAGAACAAGAAAAAAACAAATTCCTCAAGATGTTATCCCACCATTGACCTCTATCCACAACACCAGTGATAGCAATGCTGTAAAAAGCTTCCCCTTCCCTTCTATGTTTCCTCAAAATAGTACACTAGGTGTTTCTTCCAGATGCGCCGTCTTAGAAAATGTACTTGTAAACCAAGTCAACAGCCGATGTGCTATTGGCTTGCTTAAGGGTGAACACCCTGACGCCATTGCTCGATTCTGTTGGTGGAACCACCTTGGCCAGGCATTTGCATAGCAGGCTGCAACATGCCTCCACCATAAACACTCATGGCACCAGCGCCGTAAGGGTTCATGCCGTTGGGCATACCATTATACCCCATGTTCATCGCACCCAGGTTCGTAGCTGAACCGCCATATGGAGCTTGCTGCATAGGGGCCCCATAAGTACTGAATACAGCACTCTTTCGGTGGTTAAGAGCTGGTTGGTTGAAGAGTTGCGTATGAAGGGCAGGAGAGGACATGGCTGCTTGGGAGTTCTGGCCACCAAGACCATTGTTGAAAGTACCTCCACGGTAACCTCCAGATTGCGCATTGCTGGGACCACCGAGAGCCTGCGGCATTTGGCTTCGATAAGCGGCCATCTTAGCCTCACGCTCTCTCAGAAGCCTTCGCTCATGTTCCATACGAGTGCGCTCCTCCTGGGCTTGGTTGGTCTCCCTTTTAGGATGGGCAGAGAGAACACTAGACAGCTGGTGCATGCGCCCGTTGATTCCTGGTATCGGTGCCTCAGCCTCTTCGGCACTGGCGTTCAGCTGGTTGAAACTCATCTCACGCTCACGGGCTTCTCGCTCAGCTTGTAGACGTTTTCGTCGTTGACCTAGGGTTTCCTCCTCGCC